GTGTATAACAATCAATTCGATTGTTGATTAAATTAAATGCTAATTAAAAATTGTCAAAAATAAATTTCTTTCTTTACATTAAAGGTAATTTGTAGTGTTTTCTCTCATATTATTTTAATTTATATTAAAATGGTATATGAGGGGCACTCTAGGAAAAGGGGGGTCGGAGGCTTCTGTCCAAGTTTGAGTTTTTTACATAATATTAATCTAAAATACATAGATTATAATTGGTGAAAATATTGGACCTTGTTTGATTAATAAAAAAATGTATAGTTGAGAGACAAAAAAATTTTTTTTATATGTTTAAATAGCGTGTAACATAATTTAATATTGCGATATCTCAAATGATCTACATACCTCGGACCCCCCATTTCCTAGAGCGCCCCTCATATATAGAAAATTTAAATTTAAGTTTTTAAGGACCAATCAAATTTCTTTATTTATGAAAAAGTCAAAATCTGATTGGCTGAAACGAATTATAGCGTTAACACTAACTAAATAAGAAGCAATAAACATAAATGTAACATCTATATTTTTACAATATGTTTATTTAGAAAGAGTTAGTTCATTTAGTTGTGTCATAGCAAGTATGATTATTTTGATAATGCTCACATGAAATTGTGTTTAATTTTTTTGGTGTGCGAAGCAATAAAAACACATTTTAATTCTCAAATGAATTGGACTTTTTTTATTAAAATTTAAAATTCATGAATAATTCGTGAATAATTCCTTCCGTATATGTAAGTAATTATTTGCGTAACAAAAAAATAAAAAATAATGTTAAATTCTATGTTGGTGTTACAAAAAAAATATGAGGACGGCCATCCCATTTATATGTTTCGAATTTAATGAAATTGACTATTGTTTTGACTTAAGTGATATGATTTTTTTACTCTTTATGATAAAGAAGGTGCAATCCAAATCAAACTTAACTTTAATATTAACATGATGTTAATATAAATAGATTTTGGTTCTTGCGTAGCGCAGCATGCACAATAATAACAATAAAAAAAAAGAAAAAAGCTCCACGTTGTGTTTTCAGTTGCAAGCTTGTTAATTAAAAACATATTAGTTAATAGTGATCTTTATCACATTAACTAAAACCAAATCTCTTTATGTTCACTTGGAAAAAAAGATTTTATTATTTTGCATGATAAATGGCAAAAAACGTTTATCACGTGGACAAGGCATTCAATTTCAACATAGATCATCAAGTGTATTGATATCGATTTCAGAAAAATAAAAAAAATATTTTTGAAATTTATTACCCAAAAAATTAAGTTTGAAAAACAGTGATTTTTTGGTAGCTGCTTATAGCTCTCACTATCTTGCTGAGCTCTGCAGAGAGAAGAAATTGCTATCACTATTAAAAAATGTGTTGAAAAATGTAGAACCTCAGATTTTCCAAAAAGAGGTTTTTTTTCTAAAAAAGAATTCAAATCAGTGAATGATTATCGCTAACCAAAACTCTCTAAACAAAAAAGGATAATGAAGCATAGTACCAATGCCAACTAATTTCTTTCTTGCGCTAATAAATATAAGCTAGTCTATTTATTATCAATCAATAATCGTTTAAAAATTGTTACATTCTCCCCTCCCTAAGTTTTGACGTCCTTGTCAATTCAAATTCTTTAACTTTTCTTTCCGCATTCTTTAAATGTTCAGCAGGTTTCCAAGTTGCATCATCTAATGGATAACCTTTCAAATAGTGTGGTTTTGTTCATGCCAACTTTTACCAAGGATGTTTTTTACTTCATATTCTTCTTCTTCTATTCCAGGAATAATGATTGCTGGTGTTGGTGTGGGTCGATTGAAATTGTCAGATGTTTCTTGGTAATGTTTTAGTAAAGAAACATGAAAAACAGGATGGATTTTTAAATTTTCTGGTAAATCTAACTTATATGCAGTTGTAGAAATTACAGCAATGATTGTGTATGGTCCCATGTATTTTGGTGAAAGTTTCTTGGTTGGTCAATTTTTATCAATTGGTGTAGTTATATGTCGTGTAGACAACAAGACTTTATCTCCTACTTTTGTATTCTTCATAACGTCGACTTTGATTAGAGTATTTTGCTTGTCTTTCTTGAGCACTCATCAAAGTATCTTTTGCAATTTGAATCATAGTGTTCCAATGATTTAAAAAATCCTCTGCTGCTGGTAATTGAGTGTTCTTCTTTGCTGCCAATGAACTAGGAGTGTTTGGATGTTGACCATAATCCAATTCAAAAGGTGTATGTCCAGTTGAAGGGGTCTGATTCATTTCGTCAAAAGTTTGTTTCGTCGAATGTTCATTTCGTTGGACGTTCATTTCGTCGGATGTTCATTTCATCGAAAATTATTTCGTCACAAAAAAAAAACTTCATTAAACAAATTTCTCCTCACACTTCCCGCACACTCCACTTTCCTCACCTAATTTCTTAACTAGCTTCCCATACTCCTCACATCTAACTCTTTCGGTCTCTGGCTCGAGGATGAATAATTTTCGACGAAATAAAAATTCGATGAAACAAACTTTCGACGAAATGGGTGTCGACGAAATAATTTTCGACGAAGTAAACGCGACCGGTAACAGTTTAGTGTAAAGGAGTTGGCATATTGGAAAAGAAGGAATGAAATTATTATGCTTCCCTATAGTGGTGTTCTATTAGCCAATGGTGTAGTTATGTTGAATGATGAATGGAGAAGTACCATTACGTAAAAAGAGTTGTTAAATAATCATTGTGTAAGTATAAAAGTCATAATGGAAAATTCAACGCAAGCTTTCAACATTCTGTATCAGGTAAATATATTTATTTGTGTGTTTCAAACTATCGGCAAGTGAAACTCTTTTAGTAATGCTCGTCATATTATAATAGGACTTCTTTTTTACACGGTGAAGGTGACCGCAACACTATAATTCAGGTTAATTAATATTGAGTGTAAATCATTACCTAAACAGAAAAAATCCACCAATCAGCTTTCGAGGTCGCGTTAATAGAGTTTTCCTATTTTATATATATAATTTTTTTTATGCGTTATTATTAGTCAAAGCTCGCTACTATTACTATTACTATATTAATAAATCGCAAAACCGGTTTGCAATTGATAATTACACGCGTTACTGATAATCTAATTTGTAAAATTTAATTTTGTGGGAGTTTAATCGATGAGGACCAGACGAAATAGGTTATTTTACAATTATAGGAATTCGAATTGCTTATACACATGTCTATCAATAATTACATGCAAACATGTTATTACACTTGCACTACTTACCTGCATTGTTCTCATGACGTTATTGCCACATAACATAATAAATAGTATATATAGTCAAACCTCGTTTTGAATCTTGTTTCAATGAATTATAATTAAACGCGATTAGTAATTTTGGTATGACGAATTTTAAATTTCTTGCTGAAAAGAATAATTGACTAAGCCATCCAAAAATTTAATACAAATCAGTTTTTCGAATATGAAAAAATTGAACCCGAATTTATGTTGCAACCGGTTTTAATTCGATTATATCAGAGGAAACAAAGGAATTCCTTTATAATTCAAACAAGAACAATATCTACACTCCATTATTTGTTAAATGATGGATGATCACTACAAATTGGAACGAGGTTGTCTGCGCAGCACTTACAATTTTTAAAGTAACAAAACAAGGCTCGTGAAACAAAAACAAAAATGACTAAATTTTCTGAAAATATAGTAACATTATTAGACAACCTTATCATTTCTAATAGCAATGCTTCACCATTAAAATATATTGGCAAGCTTGTGACTGATTTAACAAGCTTATTGTATGGGTCAGATTTTTATGATATGGAAATTAGAATTGGAGCAGATGAAGATGTAAAAACTTTTAAAGTTCATTCTACTATTTTAAAAGCAAGGTCTTCTTATTTCAGGGCAGCATTATCAAACAATTGGGTAAAAAAATCCGGAGATGGTGTTATTTTGTTTGAAAAAGAAAATTTATCTCCAAATATATTTGAAATACTTTTGACGTAAGATTAATTTTATTTGCTTTTTTAATTAATTTGTTGTTTTACAATAATATACATTGTAAAGGTTATATTGATAAAATTAGTTCTTTTTGTTATTTAAAGCTATATTTACAATGGAACTATTAATATGATTAATCTGGATCATGATGAAATTATTGAATTACTTGAAGCTTGTGATGAATTAAATTTCAATGAGTTGATTGATGATTTACAAAAAAATTTAATCAAAAAGGAAAAAAAATGGATTCATCAGAACATAAATTATTTTTATAACATATCATTCAAAAGTCAATCATTTAACTTGCTTCAAGATTATTTTAAGGAATTAATTAATTATAAGCCAGAACTATTTCTAAAATCTGAAGATGTTGTTGCAATTGAAAAATCAACACTTTTATTTTTATTGATGCGTGATGATATAATATTAGATGAGATTGATATTTGGAATAATATCATCGAATGGGGTATTGGACAAAATGAAATGTTGGGGAATAAAAGAAATATTTTGGAATGGAGTAAAGATGGTTTGATCGAATTGAAAAATATATTAAAGGATGTAATTCCATTAATCAGGTTTAATCAAATTTCACAAAATGATTTTCATAATTATATCAAACCTTATTTCCAAGTAATTGATAAACCAATATATGAAGAGCTGTTCCATTACTATCACGCAAATGAATGGCAACCAAAGTCATTATTGTCATTATTGTTTTTTCAAAAAGGCCCAAGGACTGAAAAGGGAAAATTGTTAAACACAGAAATGAAAGCTTTGATTTCTAGCTGGATTGATTACAAAAGTGATTATGATTTATATAATCAAAACAATATACCTTATCAATTTGAATTGATCCTTCGTGGGTCTCAAGATGGATTTTCTAAAAAAGTCTTTGAAAATAAGTGCTATAACGTTGAACAGACTATAACTATCATGAAAATTAAAGATACTGGAGAATTGGTTGGTGGTTTTAACCCAGTTTGTTGGAATCTGAATGATGTATATCGTTCTTGTTATTATATTGAAACAGATAAAAGTTTCCTTTTCAAGATTGAAGAAAACAAAATAAATGATTCAGTATTAAGTAGAGTCAAGGATCCTGGGTGTGCATTATATCATGATGGCCGCCCATTCATTAATAAGTTAATAAGCAAAAAAAGATTTCATGAAAGTTTGGCAGATTTTAATAATCTAATATTATATATGAGGACTAATAATAAACTCTATTGTTTTTATTCATTTGCTGATAATGAGAATCATGATGATGGCGTTTTTTATGAAAAAGATTTGAATCTTAGAAATCGTAATAATAAAATTCATCTACTGGAAGAATGTGAAATATATAGATTGATCAAGAAAGTTTAATAATTAAGGTGGTATTTTATAGATATAATAACAATTATTTGTTTTTTTTTTTTCTTTCAAAAGGTTACTATATATATGTATATATATAAATTTATTTAATTAAACATTGAAATAAAAAAGAACATTCCACTAGTAAAAGATTTGACTTAGTGTCACATGTTGAATTGTCAATTTAAAAACTTCCAAATGTCTTGTCTTCATGTATAAAACATAACAACACCTTACAAATTCCAATGAAATATTTTACCATTAAATCACATTAATAAGCTTGTAACCGATTTAACAAACTTTTATGTGAATCAGATTTTTATATTGTAGAAATTTAGAATTGGTACAGACCAAGGTGTTAAAACTTTAAAGGAATGTACAAAATCTATCAAGAAGTTTTTTTCGTATAACTTTTTCATATTAATATGAATACCCATTATATCGTCTTACTAAAGTCCATTTATTTTCATTATTCCGAAGCACGTGATCACAAAATGGATGATATGATTGGTGATTTATCTAATGACATTGAAAAGGAAGATAACTGTTCCAACCCAATAAAAGAACTGCTTTATAGAAAAAAAGAAATTTGTGTTAAGAAAGGACAGAAACCTGAATTATCTAATGTTGAATTATCCAAATTTTATGGTCTTAAGTAATTTTAAATCTACATTTTACATAAATTTTCTATTTTCTCCATAACAATTTGCTGATGCTTACTATTTATTACTAAACCGAAACCTCGCCGTAGCGACCCCAGGTAAATGTTTCGTTATATAGAGGATTTATCGACTCTTTTGTTTTTTGTTTCATATGTTTGTCTAGGGATGGGAACTGTTTGGTTCGGTTTATAAACCACCAGTTTGACTAGCGAGCCACTGATCAGCAGTTTACTATCGCGGTTTGAACCCAATTTCAACCACAATTTTATAATTTTATCTAATCACTACTATCACTTTCATCAGATATGATTTTTTAAAGTGCCAGTCGAAGTTTTCCAATCCCATAATATGGACACAAATACGGAACTTCTAAATTTCATAAAATATTCATTTACTTTCAAAGTAATTCTAATGATTTGTAAATTATTAGGAATTTAAACGATTGATGATGATTATGAAATGGAAGGTATAAGTGTAATGTCATGTATTCGAGTTGAATCATCAATGAAATATTTATTGAAGTTGAAAGTGGAGCATTATCAATTCTCCTTAAGGATACGGTCCAGCACGTGATCATTTATTAGTAAATCCGGTTCTAAAAAAATGCCGATCAATTTCCTTGAAAA